TGGCGCTTCATGGTCTCTATTAAAATAGACTCCGAACCGCCTATTTTCCCATTGCCGATTCCTCTAGCAGGATGTCACTTCGCCCTCCCTCCGAGCCCGGCCGGGTGCTCCGCTCCAAGGGGTGTTTGAATGGGGGCAGGGGAAAAGTGCTGCGATCTTTTCCTCTTGTCTTGTTTTCCTTTTGTGAAATAAGATGTAGAAATGCCTTTTCCCTTGGATTTTAAAAAAGCTTTTAAAAACTAAGAGGTTTGCGGAGAACTACTGAGAGAGGGCTCCTAACAAGCCTAAAACGGGGGAGTGTGAGCCGGGAAATGAATGTTGTTTTGCAACCGTAGGTACCGCAGCTGGTTGCTAGCCGCCGATGCTGTAAAGTAGCGCTCTGAATTGCTTCCTGTGTAATTACTGCTGCTCTGGACGTGCTCCTGACTCACGCCACCATTGCACGGGGCAGGCCGCTTCCCACCTCGGTGCCTCGGTTTCCCCATCTATAAACTGGGGACTTTGATACTTAGATTCGCGTTACGGCGTCTGGCGAGCCGCCGCCTTTGCTGTTTGTGTTAGCCCCGATGCTGCCGGCGCTGCTTTTGGGCCAAATATATTGATTACGGCCCCGAGGAGAGAGGATCTCTGCCCCAAGGAGTTCAGGGCTTTGCTGCTCGAGACGGAGAGGAGGGAAACATCGTTCCTGTTTTAGAGATCAGAAAGCTGCAGCGAGAGCAGTTGAGGGACTTGGTCAGGGATCTGCGGAGCGCTGGGAAGCTGGGCAGGTTTTGCTACCACTTGCGTTTTGCTCTGGTGTTGCATCTCGTCCCCTGGCCCCGGAGCTGGCAGCTTGCTGCCGAAAGGGCGTCCCTGCCGCACGGACGCGCGCGAGCACCTGGCTGTTTGGTTTGCTTTGGGTGTTTTAGCCTTTGAAGAGAGGATGTATTTAAAGTCGAGTGGCTCCGTTTCGCTGTGCTAGCGCATCAGCAGTGAGTCTATTATTATTATTTTTTTTTTCCCCCCAAACAAACCGTCAGTGTTGGAAGGAGCTGCTGCTTTTTGGTGAACAGCGTTGATGGGATTGGCACGTGGGGGGCAAGGGCTGGGCCTTCGGGTGGTGCCAGGCGTGCTGCCAGCGCTTCGGGAAACTTTCAGGAGCAGCCGAGTCGCTGCTCTCGCTTCCTCCCCTGCCACCGCCGCGGTCTCTGGGGAAGCGGCAGCCCTCGCCGCCCCCCGGGCCTGCTGGTGGTTTGGGGGACAATGCGCCTTGGTTCTGGTGTGGGAAGAGCCCCCTCTGGAAGGACCCAGCGAGGGCAACTGCGGGTAGGACGCTGGGGAGGGAAACACCGAACCCGAGGCTGCTGGTGGAACGGGCTTATGGGTACGGCACTGGGAACCCGAAATGCTGAGAGTTGTTATATGTTGAAAACTACAGCGACTGTTAGTGTCCAGCAGCTTCCATAGTGAACTCTTCTCTCCGCGCCTCCCTAACACAAGACTAACGACTGTCTCTTTCCAGCTCTGCTAGACAGGCCCCATTTATGGGGGACTACAGAGCCTCCGAGTGTCTGAGCTTTTAGCTCTTTATACGGTGTCTTTAGCAGCAGGCTGGGGTGGTCTCTGTTTCCCTCTTCTAGCACACTGATGCCCTCGAGCGCTGGGCTTGCTGCTGTGCCCTCTCCGAGGGCAGTACCAGCACCCTGCCGGCCTCTCGTTGATGGTGTCTGTGCTCTGTGCCCTGGGACTCCGGGGATGACCGGCGAGAACAGTGTTCCCTGTGATTGTGTGATTGCGTCAGGAGCTTTGCTGTCCCAAGCTAGACTGGATGAGCAGGGGATCTTCCCGGTAGAGATGGTGGGATTGCAAAACGCTCTAGGTGTGGTTGCACCAAGAAGTGGGCTGGGGTCTGCTAGCAAAGTTCAAGCCAACAGAGCATAATGCCAAGCACGCTTGCTGGCTTGGTCCGGATGCCGTCTGGCTGTGTTAACCCGGCACCGGTCCTTGCCAAGGCTTGCTAGCTCTGGCCCCGATCTGTGCCAATTCAGCTGTTCTTCCAGACTCTAGCTTGAGAGTACCTGGGCTGTGTTCCTCCTCTTCCTCCTCCTTCCAGGAGTGAAGGTGAGCATGGCTCTGTCCTCATCTGCCGGCGTGGGCATGTCTTAAATTCCCAGCAGGACAGCAGACTTGACTGCTTTGGAGATGTTCAGGGCAGAAGGCATGTGTCCTGCCACGTAGCGCTCAGTAGAGAGCAGGCGGGTGCTGGCAAACAAGCACCTGCTAGGGGCCAGTGGGCAGTTTTAAGCTCTGTGTTGGGAGCTTCTGTGTGATGCAAATGTCTCCAAACAGTAAAGGCCTGGGTGACTCATTGCGTTTTCTCTCTCCTCTCCGTAGCCTTTTGCGTCAAAGATGGCGGGTGGCGTGGACGGCCCCATAGGGATCCCGTTCCCCGATCACAGCAGCGACATCCTTAGCAGCCTGAATGAGCAGAGAAACAATGGGCTGTTGTGTGACGTGGTCATCTTGGTGGAAGGCCAGGAGTTCCCCACCCACCGCTCCGTCCTGGCAGCGTGCAGCCAGTACTTCAAGAAGCTCTTCACCTCAGGGTTAGTGGTGGACCAGCAAAACGTGTATGAGATAGACTTTGTTAGTGCGGACGCCTTGTCGGCTCTGCTGGAGTTCGCTTACACCGCGACCCTTACCGTCAGCACTTCAAACGTCAATGACATCCTCAATGCCGCCAAACTGCTGGAGATCCCGGCGGTAAGGGATGTTTGCACGGATCTCCTGGACAGGAAGATTCTGGCCAAAAATGACCAGATGGATACAGTAGATCAAATTGATCAAAGGAACCATCTCAGAGCAAAAGAGTACCTGGAGTTCTTCCAGAGCAACCCCGTCAATGGCCACCAAGGCAGCTTTCCGTGGACCAACCAAGAGTTGAGAGACCTTCAGAGACTGAACTTCCGAGGCCAAGAGGAAGAGGAGGAGCCGGACTGCAATGACATGGACTTCTACTCGCAAGCCCCCCTAAACGAAAGACCAAAGGTGAATGACTGTGATCCCGACAGCAACCCAGCCATGTGGTTGGACAGAGAAGAGGAGGAGGCCCCTGGGTCCTTATTTTCACCTTCTCAGAACGGACATTACAGCAGCCGTGGCCGGCAGACACCAGGAGAAGAGGAGGCAGCTCCAGGGGGTCCTCTGGACCAGCAGGAAGCCGGCGACTCGCCCAGCTTTGCTCCTGCTGGAGGTGAGACGGAGGACGCTGATGCGAGGGAGGTGGATGGCTTGGCTGCTAGTGCCCTGCTGCAGCAAATGATCAATTCCGTGGGGAGACAACAGCTCGGGGAGGACGACCGAAAGGACGACGACGGGGTCATGGATTATTACTTGAAATACTTCGGCAGTTCGAACGAGAGCGACGTGTATCCGTCCTGGTCCCAGAAGGTCGAGAAGAAGATCAGGGCGAAAGCATTCCAAAAGTGCCCCATCTGCGAGAAGGTGATCCAGGGGGCCGGCAAGCTGCCGCGTCACATCCGCACCCACACCGGTGAGAAGCCCTACGAGTGCAACATCTGCAAAGTCCGATTCACCAGGTAAGGAGCGGGTGGGAGCGGGCCGCGCTGGCGACTGCTGTGACAGGGGAGGAGAAGGGGGCGTTGCACAAAACTGGCTCTCTGCTTTTGCTGGGGGATTGGCACGGGGCTGATCTGGTGCAATTTTAACTCACCTGCAGTGACTGATTTCCATCTTAACAGGCGAGTGGGATATAAAGGCCAGGATTTTCCAAAGAGACGAGCAATTTGGGTGTCTGCATCTTTCTTGAGATGTCTTAAGGGGCCTCTCTTAATACCCAGTTCCTCCTGGCTTTGGAAACCTCCGCTTTCCAGGTGTCCTGATTTGCTGACCTCTCCTGGAAACTTGGCCAGACCGAGGCTTCTGCAGAGACCAAGTAACGTGGTCGGTGAAGCGGAGGCACAGGCCTTTGTATTTTTATCGTGGCTCAAGTGCTTGGTTTTGGCCATGGAGCCTGGGATTGAGGCAAGGGTTGGAAAGCAGTTTAGAAGTGGCTCCATCTGATGATTGAAACGTCCGTGGCTAGTAGTCTTGCCAGGTGGTTAGGAACAGGCCGAACTCTGCACTGCTGATGTCCTCTCTCAGCGAACCGTCGCGAGCTCAGCTGCTGCCATCGCGCCGAGAGGACGAGATCGGGATGGTGCCTCCTGAGCTCGCGTGTGTTTGTGCTCCCACCCCAGCTCTTAAGAAAATGCACAAATCCAGCAACTTGGTACAAATCCCCGGGGGCGTTTGCCTCGGCCCTGTTTCTAATCAGGGTTCCTCTTCCCTCTGCCATGGGAATGCCAGAGAAAGGGAATATTGTTTGGACTCCTCTGGTTCACTTCAGTCCAAGTGTTACAACGCGTCCTCCTCTTTCTAGTCTTCGTGCCTGTGATTACAGTGCAAGGCTGAAGGCGGGGGTTCCACCCAGGTCCGTCCTTGCCCTGCCAAGAGATTGTGTGGGCTGGCTGACAAAGGAGCCAAATTGCCTAGCCCGCTCCGCCTGCTTTCTGCATGCTTAAATATTCCCAGCCTCGCAAGTGCTGACTGCTCCGCTTCCAGGGCAGGCCAGCCCTTCCAGGGAGCTGCTTCCTGGAGGGGGGGCTGGGGGAGGCAGGATCGCGGGCGGCCCCGTGGAAACGGGAAAAGTGGCTCCAGCGCGAAGTCAACGGGTTCAGGCCGTGGGCAGGAGGAGAGGGGAGAGGTGGTTGCCGAGGACAGGCTCTGCCGGGCTCGGGAGCCGCGAGAAGCAGCTC